GAAGTTACTATTTTTTTGTGTCATTAAATCTATTTTTCCCTCAAGAGTTTTTTTTTTTTTTTTTTTTTTTGATTAAGGACAAGGATGGGAGGCCTAGCTTACCTCATAGGTCATTGCAGACACCTGTGGGTTTGTGAGTCGGCCTAGATTTTGTGCTCAGAGTACAACATGAATGTTTTAAGCAGCTGGTACCAAGAGAGAAGACCAGATCTTGGTGTGATACAGACCTGGGTTTAAAATACATACGATATTGTATATATTTCAGGCAAAGCCACTTTACCTGAACCTGTTTTTGTTTTTCTTTTGTATCTAAAACACATTTAAACTTACATACACTCCGCTGATGGGATTGTGTGCTATGTGCTGATGGGCCCAGCATGGGCTAAGTTCCCCACAGGTGAAAGTAGTTTCCACTTTAGTACAATAGGTGCTGAGTAAGCAGTAGTTGTTTACGCAGAGAAGCGGTCCAGGGAGGGGAGGGGCAAGTTCAAACTGTGTCCCATGCAAATGATCCTTCAGCCCACAGAGGAAGACCAAGAGTTAGATGTGGATATCTCCTGGCTATGCCTTCCAGGACTCAGTCCCCTTCTCCTAGAAAAAAGATTTCCTCAAATTTCATTTGGAGAACCACCTCTTCCTCATTTACGACCCATGTAGTGTGGGTAGGTGTGTCTGGACTCCTCTATGTAACTTGAAATAAAATAACACTAAACTATAACGTTAGTGGAAGGAATATCTCCAAATTCTTCATTTTTCCATGACTATTTGAAACAGTAATCAGGAAATTAAACATGTATGCCAGAATAGTTTTGAGGTAGCAGAGAGGTGGGAGTCAGGCTGCTATACCTGAGCAGGGAAAGGAAAAATAATAGGATTTGCAGGGTAGCTGTCTTTTTTAGGAAATCTTTTTGGGCCTCAATGCTTTCATGAGTCAAGCGACCCATGTGTGAGGCTTTGTTTGTTTGTTTGTTTGTTTGTTTCTGGTGGTGCTGGAGATTGAACCTTGGCTTTGCACATGCTAAACACACATTCTGTCACTGAGCTGCACCCCCAGTCTCTTCACTAAGAGCTTGACTAAAAGCATTTGAAAAGTTCTAGCCCTGGGTTTGACCCAATGACTTGATGTGCAGTGTGACACCCCACATATGACACATGCATAGATTATCAGGGAAATGAAGCTTAATTCCCCAAACAGCAAAGCTTTGGCGTTTTCTGCCATCTTGGATGGGAGATTTGAGTAGAGGAAATTGAATGGAACTTTCTGTTCAGATCCTGTCTCTGTCACTTACTGGTTGTTTGACGTTGAGCATGTCACCTCACACTTGGAGCTTGCTTCCAGGTTGGCAAACGGAATGATAACACACACAAACCTACATTACATTGTCATTGTGAATCCCTAAACAATCGCTGTTATATCTGATGTTCTTGTGGACAGACTCAGGGCTAGGGTGGGAAGGAGAGAGTGGGCTCAGGAGCAGGAGAAAGCATTCAGCCCAGAGCCCAGCCATGGAAGGGGCTTTGGGCCTCTAGAGGGACCACAGAGCAGTTGGATTCAGATTTTGCAGTTGAGGAAACTGTGACTTACAGAGAAGGGGAGATGACTTTCTCAGGGACACACACTCAAATAGGTAAAGCAGAACTAAAATTTGCAAAAGAATTTGATGTGTAATTTTTTTTTGCAGGGGGGGAGTTGTATCATGAGAAAAATAACTTTGTGGGACTTCTTTACCAATACTGTGTGGTTTTGTGCAGTTTTTTGTGCCGAGGACAACTGACGGTTTTATGCACACACACACAGGGTCTCTTCATACCCACATTCTCAGAGCACCCCCTCAGGTGCTCTTTCTCCATAAGATGACAGAGGCAGATGTGTGAGTCAAGAGACCTGGGCTCAGCTCTGGGCTCTGACTTGGCTTTCTGTGCCTCAGTTTCCCCATCTGCCAAATGAAGTTGTTGGACCAGCAAGCCCTTGGAGGCCTTGGCATTCTGATCTTTTATGAAGCCTTTCCTTTTATGAGGGCTTTCCCCTTGAGCTTTCCTGATCACTCACCCTCACTGCAGGGCCATCCTATTGTCACTATCTCATTTCCATCTTACTTTCTTCACAGCCCTTGCCATCCTCTGAAATTATTTTTGTTGCTGCTGTTGTTGTTTATTTTCTATCTAGACAGTAGTCTCTTGTCCATTCCATGAGAGAGGGACTTGGGAGTTTGGGAGCACCACTATGACCTTGGCACCTAAAACAGTGTTTGGCACATGGTAGGATGAACAAACAACTGAATGATATAAGGGCAGA